GTCCTCTGCTCTGACGTGCAGCTCGTCACAGCTCACCTGTCCCCCCCCTCACCTGTTCCTCTGCTCTGACGTGCAGCTCGTCACAGCTCACCTGTCCCCCCCCTCACATGTCCCCCCTCACCTGTCGCCCCCCTCACCTGTTCCTCTGCTCTGACGTGCAGCTCGTCACAGCTCACCTGTCCCCCCCCTCACCTGCCCCCCCCTCACCTGCCCCCCCCTCACCTGTCCCCCCCCTCACCTCGTTCTGCTCTGACGTGCAGCTCGTCACAGCTCACCTGTCCCCCCCCTCCCCTGTCCCCCCCCTCACCTGTTCCTCTGCTCTGACGTGCAGCTCGTCACAGCTCACCTGTCCCCCCCTCACCTGTCCCCCCCTCACCTGTTCCTCTGCTCTGACGTGCAGCGTCACAGCTCACCTGTCCCCCCCCCTCACCTGTCCCCCCCTCACCTGATCCTCTGCTCTGACGTGCAGCTCGTCACAGCTCACCTGTCCCCCCCTCACCTGTCCCCCCCCTCACCTGTTCCTCTGCTCTGACGTGCAGCTCGTCACAGCTCACCTGTCCCCCCCCTCACCTGTCCCCCCCTCACCTGTTCCTCTGCTCTGACATGCAGCTCGTCACAGCTCACCTGTCCCCCCCTTACCTGTCCCCCCCCTCACCTCATCCTCTGCTCTGACGTGCAGCTCGTCACAGCTCACCTGTCCCCCCCCTCACCTGTCCCACCCTCACCTGTTCCTCTGCTCTGACGTGCAGCTCGTCACAGCTCACCTGTCCCCCCCCTCACCTGTTCCTCTGCTCTGACGTGGAGCTCGTCACAGCTGACCTGTCCCCCCCCTCACCTGTTCCTCTGCTCTGACGTGGAGCTCGTCACAGCTCACCTGTCCCCCTTCTCACCTGTCCCCCCCCTCACCTGTCCCCCCCTCACCTGTTCCTCTGCTCTGACGTGCAGCTCACCACAGCTCACCTGTCCCCCCCCCTCACCTGTCCCCCCCTCACCTGTTCCTCTGCTCTGACGTGCAGCTCGTCACAGTTCACCTGTCCCCCCCCTCACCTGTTCCTCTGCTCTGACGTGCAGCTCGTCAGCTCACCTGTCCCCCCTTCACCTGTCCCCCCCTAACCTGTCCCCCCCCCTCACCTGTCCCCCCCCCTCACCTGTTCCTCTGCTCTGACGTGCAGCTCGTCACAGCTCACCTGCCCCCCCCCCCCTCACCTGATCCTCTGCTCTGACGTGCAGCTCGTCACAGCTCACCTGTCCCCCCCCCTCACCTGTCCCCCCCTCACCTGTTCCTCTGCTCTGACGTGCAGCTCGTCACAGCTCACCTGTCCCCCCCCTCACCTGTCCCCCCCCTCACCTGTTCCTCTGCTCTGACGTGCAGCTCGTCACAGCTCACCTGTCCCCCCCCCTTACCTGTCCCCCCTCTCACCTGTCCCCCCCCTCACCTAATCCTCTGCTCTGACGTGCAGCTCGTCACAGCTCACCTGTCCCCCCCCTCACCTGTTCCTCTGCTCTGACGTGTAGCTCGTCACAGCTCACCTGTCCCCCCCTCACCTGTTCCTCTGCTCTGACGTGTAGCTCGTCACAGCTCACCTGTCCCCCCCCTCACCTGTCCCCCCCTCACCTGATCCTCTGCTCTGACGTGCAGCTCGTCACAGCTCACCTGTCCTCCCCTCACCTGATCCTCTGCTCTGACGTGCAGCTCGTCACAGCTCACCTGTCCCCCCCCTCACCTGTCCCCCCCCTCACCTGATCCTCTGCTCTGACGTGCAGCTCGTCACAGCTCACCTGTCCCCCCCTCACCTGTTCCTCTGCTCTGACGTGCAGCTCGTCACAGCTCACCTGTCCCCCCCTCACCTAATCCTCTGCTCTGACGTGCAGCTCGTCACAGCTCACCTGTCCCCCCCTCACCTAATCCTCTGCTCTGACGTGCAGCTCGTCACAGCTCACCTGTCCCCCCCTCACCTAATCCTCTGCTCTGACGTGTAGCTCGTCACAGCTCACCTGTCCCCCCCCTCACCTGTCCCCCCCTCACCTGATCCTCTGCTCTGACGTGCAGCTCGTCACAGCTCACCTGTCCCCCCCTCACCTGTTCCTCTGCTCTGACGTGCAGCTCGTCACAGCTCACCTGTCCCCCCCTCACCTGTTCCTCTGCTCTGACGTGCAGCTCGTCACAGCTCACCTGTCCCCCCCCTCACCTGTCCCCCCCCCCTCACCTGTCCCCCCTCACCTGTTCCTCTGCTCTGACGTGCAGCTCGTCACAGCTCACCTGTCCCCCCCTCACCTGTCCCCCCCCTCACCTGTCCCCCCTCACCTGTTCCTCTGCTCTGACGTGCAGCTCGTCACAGCTCACCTGTCCCCCCCTCACCTGTCCCCCCCCTCACCTGTCCCCCCTCACCTGTTCCTCTGCTCTGACGTGCAGCTCGTCACAGCTCACCAGCTCCAGCAGCTCCTCTGCCTTCAGGCTCAGAAACTCCTCGGACTCGCAGACCTGCAGGAAGTTCTGGAACAGGAAGCTGCTGGCGGAGTCGTAGAGAGACGTGCACATCATGGTCTCAGCAAACTGACGCACCCCCAGACAGTTCTTAGGGTGCAACCTGCAGGGGGGGGAGTGAGGGTGAGTTACCTGTCCTGCAGGTGTGTGAGGTACCTGTCCTGCAGGTAGCAGCAGTAGGTGTGTGTGTGTGTGTGTGTGTGTGTGTGTGTGTGTGTGTGTGTGTGTGTGTTGTGTGTGTGTGTGTATATGTGTGTGTGTGTGTGTGTGTGTGAGTTACCTGTCCTGCAGGTAGCAGCAGTAGGTGTGTGTGTGTGTGTGTGTGTGTATATGTGTGTGTGTGTGTGTGTGTGTGTGTGTGTGTGGGTGTGTGTGTGTGTGTGAGTGTGTGAGTTACCTGTCCTGCAGGTAGCAGCAGTAGGTGTGTGTGTGTGTGTGTGTGTGTATATGTGTGGTGTGTGTGTGTGTGTGGTGTGTGTGTGTGTGTGTGTGTGAGTGTGTGAGTTACCTGTCCTGCAGGTAGCAGCAGTAGGTGTGTGTGTGTGTGTGTGTGTGTATATGTGTGTGTGTGTGTGTGTGTGTGTGTGAGTTACCTGTCCTGCAGGTAGCAGCAGTAGGTGTGTGTGTGTGTGTGTATATGTGTGTGTGTGTGTGTGTGTGTGTGTGTGTGTGTGTGTGTGTGTGTGTGTGTGTGTGTGTGTGTGTGTGTGTTACCTGTCCTGCAGGTAGCAGCAGCACGCCTCCTTGACGCTCTGCAGCTGCAGGAAGCTGGCTCCCATCAGGAGGCTCTGCACGTTCTGCTGGTCGATCGCAACATGGCCGCTGTACGCAAAGTTCACCAGAGCCTCCAGAGCACTGAGGGGTCAGAACCAGAACCAGTCAGAACCAGAGTCAGAACCAGTCAGAACCAGAGTCAGAACCAGAACCAGTCAGAACCAGAGTCAGAACCAGAGTCAGAACCAGAAGGCATAGTTTGACCTCTACACCGCACTCACTAACCTGGTCGAAATATTTCCACACTCCTTTTTGACGCCATGTCTGTTGTGTAGGACTCTTCTTAGAGTGTAAATAATTACCGGACTATGACTGGTAAAATATGTTGAATACCGGCAAAACTAAATCTCTCCTGTCAAAATGTCTCTGCACTTTGCCGCCACACACGGTTGCCAAGCAGCGAGTGTTGTTGTTTAGGCTGGCCATGTGTCGCGAGTGTTGACAGGGGGCGGGGAGCGCGCTCATGAACTGTTAGCGCCGGAACCTCGCAACGGCTGCGGAGCGCATTAAGGCCTAAGATGAGGTTTGAGTCTGCGTGATCTGCGTGTAGGGAGGGGCAGCAGCCATATCATTGGCTAGAACTAGATCTGATGGATTTGGACATAAACACGAGTGAAGTATAATCAGTAGAATACAGTAGTATTAGTAGTAGAATACAGTAGTATTAGTCAGTAGAATACAGTAGTATTAGTAGTAGAATACAGTAGTATTAGTCAGTAGAATACAGTAGTATTAGTAGTAGAATACAGTAGTATTAGTCAGTAGAATACAGTAGTATTAGTAGTAGTATTAGTCAGTAGAATACAGTAGTATTAGTAGTAGAATACAGTAGTATTAGTCAGTAGAATACAGTAGTATTAGTCAGTAGAATACAGTAGTATTAGTCAGTAGAATACAGTAGTATTAGTAGTAGTATTAGTCAGTAGAATACAGTAGTATTAGTCAGTAGAATACAGTAGTATTAATCAGTAGAATACAGTAGTATTAATCAGTAGAATACAGTAGTATTAGTAGTAGAATACAGTAGTATTAGTAGTAGAATACAGTAGTATTAGTCAGTAGAATACAGTAGTATTAGTCAGTAGAATACAGTAGTATTAGTAGTAGAATACAGTAGTATTAGTCAGTAGAATACAGTAGTATTAGTAGTAGAATACAGTAGTATTAGTCAGTAGAATACAGTAGTATTAGTAGTAGAATACAGTAGTATTAGTAGTAGAATACAGTAGTATTAGTCAGTAGAATACAGTAGTATTAGTAGTAGAATACAGTAGTATTAGTCAGTAGAATACAGTAGTATTAGTCAGTAGAATACAGTAGTAGTATTAGTAGTAGAATACAGTAGTATTAGTCAGTAGAATACAGTAGTATTAGTCAGTAGTATTAGTCAGTAGAATACAGTAGTATTAGTCAGTAGAATACAATAGAATTAGTCAGTAGAATACAGTAGTATTAGTCAGTAGAATACAGTAGTATTAGTAGTAGTATTAGTCAGTAGAATACAGTAGTATTAGTCAGTAGAATACAGTAGTATTAGGTAGAATACAGTAGTATTAGGTAGAATACAGTAGTATTAGTCAGTAGAATACAGTAGTATTAGTCAGTAGTATTAGTCAGTCAGTAGTATCAGTCAGTAGTATTAGTATTAGTCAGTAGAATACAGTAGTATTAGTCAGTAGAATACAGTAGTATTAGTCAGTAGAATACAGTAGTATTAGTAGTAGTATTAGTCAGTAGAATACAGTAGTATTAGTCAGTAGAATACAGTAGTATTAGTCAGTAGAATACAATAGTATTAGTCAGTAGAATACAGTAGTATTAGTAGTAGTATTAGTCAGTAGAATACAGTAGTATTAGTCAGTAGAATACAGTAGTATTAGTCAGTAGAATACAGTAGTATTAGTCAGGAGAATACAGTAGTATTAGTCAGTAGAATACAGTAGTATTAGTCAGTAGTATTAGTAGTAGTATTAGTCAGTCAGTAGTATCAGTCAGTAGTATTAGTAGTAGTATTAGTCAGTAGAATACAGTAGTATTAGTCAGTAGAATACAGTAGTATTAATAAGTAGAATACAGTAGTATTAGTCAGTAGAATACAGTAGTATTAGTCAGTAGAATACAGTAGTATTAGTCAGTAGAATACAGTAGTATTAGTCAGTAGAATACAGTAGTATTAGTAGTAGTATTAGTCAGTAAAATACAGGAGTATTAGTAGTAGTATTAGTCAGTAGAATACAGTAGTATTAGTCAGTAGAATACAGTAGTATTAGTCAGTAGAATACAGTAGTATTAGTAGTAGAATACAGTAGTATTAGTCAGTAGAATACAGTAGTATTAGTCAGTAGAATACAGTAGTATTAATAAGTAGAATACAGTAGTATTAGTCAGTAGAATACAGTAGTATTAGTCAGTAGAATACAGTAGTATTAGTCAGTAGAATACAGTAGTATTAGTAGTAGAATACAGTAGTATTAGTCAGTAGAATACAGTAGTATTAGTCAGTAGAATACAGTAGTATTAGTATTAGTCAGTAGAATACAGTAGTATTAGTCAGTAGAATACAGTAGTATTAGTAGTAGAATACAGTAGTATTAGTCAGTAGAATACAGTAGTATTAGTCAGTTAGTAGTATTAGTCAGTAGTATTAGTCAGTAGAATACAGTAGTATTAGTCAGTAGAATACAGTAGTATTAGTCAGTAGAATACAGTAGTATTAGTCAGTAGTATTAGTCAGTAGAATAAAGTAGTATTAGTCAGTAGAATACAGTAGTATTAGTAGTAGTATTAGTCAGTAGAATACAGTAGTATTAGTCAGGAGAATACAGTAGTATTAGTCAGTAGAATACAGTAGTATTAGTCAGTAGTATTAGTATTAGTCAGTCAGTAGTATCAGTCAGTAGAATACAGTAGTATTAGTCAGTCAGTAGTATTAGTAGTAGTATTAGTCAGTAGAATACAGTAGTATTAGTCAGTAGAATACAGTAGTATTAGTCAGTAGAATACAGTAGTATTAGTCAGTAGAATACAGTAGTATTAGTAGTAGTATTAGTCAGTAGAATACAGTAGTATTAGTCAGGAGAATACAGTAGTATTAGTCAGTAGAATACAGTAGTATTAGTCAGTAGTATTAGTATTAGTCAGTCAGTAGTATCAGTCAGTAGAATACAGTAGTATTAGTCAGTAGAATACAGTAGTATTAGTCAGTCAGTAGTATCAGTCAGTAGAATACAGTAGTATCAGTCAGTAGAATACAGTAGTATTAGTCAGTAGAATACAGTAGTATTAGTCAGTCAGTAGTATCAGTCAGTAGAATACAGTAGTATTAGTCAGTAAGTAGAATACAGTAGTATTAGTCAGTAGAATACAGTAGTATTAGTCAGTAGAATACAGTAGTATTAGTCAGTAGACTACAGTAGTATTAGTCAGTAGTATTAGTCAGTAGAATACAGTAGTATTAGTCAGTAGAATACAGTAGTATTAGTCAGTAGAATACAGTAGTATTAGTCAGTAGTATTAGTAGTAGTATTAGTCAGTAAGTAGTATCAGTCAGTAGTATTAGTAGTAGTATTAGTCAGTAGAATACAGTAGTATTAGTCAGTAGAATACAGTAGTATTAGTAGTAGTATTAGTCAGTAGAATACAGTAGTATTAGTCAGTAGAATGCAGTAGTATTAGTAGTAGTATTAGTCAGTAGAATACAGTAGTATTAGTCAGTAGAATACAGTAGTATTAGTCAGTAGAATACAGTAGTATTAGTAGTAGTATTAGTCAGTAGAATACAGTAGTATTAGTCAGTAGAATACAGTAGTATTAGTCAGTAGAATACAGTAGTATTAGTAGTAGTATTAGTCAGTAGAATACAGTAGTATTAGTAGTAGTATTAGTCAGTAGAATACAGTAGTATTAGTCAGTAGAATACAGTAGTATTAGTAGTAGTATTAGTCAGTAGAATACAGTAGTATTAGTCAGTAGAATATAGTAGTATTAGTCAGTAGAATACAGTAGTATTAGTCAGTAGAATACAGTAGTATTAGTAGTAGTATTAGTTAACAGAATACAGTAGTATTAGTCAGTAGAATACAGTAGTATTAGTAGTAGTATTAGTAGTACTTGTACCTGGGGTCCATGCCCTGCATCAGGATCTCGTCCTGTTTGCACTCCATCATGTCGTTGGTAAACATGGCGTGGAAATACGGAATGGAAGCAGCGAGAACGATCCGGTGAGCGCTGAACTTATGACCCCCTGCCTAAAGTACAAAAACACAACAACAGATATTAATACACAACCACACTATAACTGAGGTCCCCCGCCTGCAGAACAACAACAAGTATTATACACAACACGTATTAATACACAACAACACGTATACACAATAACACGTATTAATATACAACAACACGTATTAATACACAACAACACGTATACACAATAACACGTAATAATACACAATAACACTATAACTGAGCCCCCCTGCCTAAATACACATTATTACACAGCTTAGTTGAATACTGGATTCTGATTGGTCAATTTGGACATTTCAGAGATTGTTAATACTGGATAAGAGACTGTTGCTAAGGTAAATAATGACTGTTGCTATGGTAACTGTTGCTAAAGTAAATAATGACTGTTGCTAAGGTAAATAATGACTGTTGCTAAGGTAACTGTTGCTCAAGTAAATAATGACTGTTGTATTGGTACACAGTGTTGTGAGTACTTGTACTGCAGAAGAGTATTAGTACACAGTGTTGTGAGTACTTGTACTGCAGCAGAGTATTAGTACACAGTGTTATGAGTACTTGTACTACAGCAGAGTATTAGTACACAGTGTTATGAGTACTTGTACTGCAGTACTACCTTCAGGGATACCAGACACACAGGTAGCTTCAGGTGTTCAGGTGAGTTCAGATCTACAGGTGATCAGGTTCAGATCTATAGGTTCAGATCTACAGGTGATCAATGTGTCAGGTGTCCCTCCGCAACAGCTCAGACAGGAAGTAGAGCCTCTCTGTTGCCATGACAACCTGAGAGGTCAGCAGGTTAGCCCAGTGATGCTAACAGAAGCTAACAGCCGTTATGCTCCTGTTAGCATGTTGTTAGCATGTTGTTAGCTTTTGTTAGCATGTAGCAACAGGCTAACCTCAGCCCCTCGCGCTGCTTCGGTCTTACCTTGAGCGTGACGTCACACAGCTTCCCCTGACGTCGCACCTCCTCCATGACAACATAGCCTCGCGCGGGCAGGTCGCTGACGGAGAAGTGAACCAAGTCCTCGAGCTCCTCGCACGAGACGTCTCCCATCCTCAGAGCAGCACGAGCCCTCCGGACCACTTCCGGCCTTCAAAGTAAGAGTCCACTGTCAAACTGGTTTCTAAAGCTTTGAGGAGTGGCCTTCAAAATAAAAACTCAGCCCCACGAGGTCTCTAAAAACACATTCTTTATTTAATAAAGTTAGATATCATTTACATTTTGAATGTAGTAATATATATACAACACATTTATTCATGTATTATGTACAATTCTGTATGAATCATAATATGTTTTTATATAATATTAACCCTCTCTGGTCTGGTCTACAAGATCCACTACACCTCTATGGTACCCATGTACATGTCAAACTCTTCCCAAAGGTCAAGGAATACCATGATCATAACACCAGAGGGAGCTCCACAAATCATGTGAAACCCAGATTGGGCACAAAAAAGGGGGAATACACGTTTCGCAATGATGCCACATCAAGGTGGAACGCTCTTCCCACAACTGTAAAGGAAAGTAAAACTATACTTACCTTCAAAACCTCTCTTAAAGAGCACCTTCGGGGGAGAGCATTGCAAAACTGGCCCCGGTAATGGTACAAATCTCAACCTGTCGTTCAATGGACAGCTCCCCCCCCCCCCCATCTATGTATATACTCGCATTTTAGACTCTGTTACTAACTGTATATCTGTAGACTTGGTATGTCTTAAATGTCCGGTTAGGATGTATTAGAACGAAATCTAAAATGAAAATTGTAAACAAGCAATCTGTATGTAAAAAACCACCTGTATGTAAATTGTAAATAAGCCATCTGTATGTCAAATATGTCTTATATGTCTTAAATGACATGATGAATTGGAAATGGGGGACCCTGATGTAAACAAGACGAAAGTCTTTCTCTGGTCTGCATCCCCTTAACAATTGTATGTTTTGAGCTGTACTGTACTGTACCCAATATACAAGCTGTTAATACACTTTTCAATCAATCAATCAATCAATCAATCAATCAATCAATCCCTAACCCTTAATGTTATAGCGCTGCAACAGCTCATTATAATGAGAGCGGCTAATCATCACTAGCTATAAATGATATTATATATATTTCAAGGTCCCTATGATACTGTTTCTCATCAATATATCCCAGGTCTCAGATATATCCAGAGCCTGTCTCTGATTGGCTGAAACACCAACCAGATCATTGCAGCATTACCCATAATCCCCTCTGTTTCAGCCCTGTTTCCAAAGTGCTGATTCTCTGTCTGTTACTTCAGATGAAAATAAGGAGCCCCTCCCCACGCCCCTCTGAGAGAGATCTGGTTACAAAGAACTCAATGGAGCTCTAGAGGAGGTTCAGGTGATAAGGGGGGGGGGGGGGGGGGGGGGGGGTTACCCTGGTTGCTGATTGGCTAATGGTTACACAAGACAACACACCGTTATGACATCATAAAGTGGCCAAAATCTGATCAGCTCATTTTCAGACAGGTTTTTATAGAAATGGATCAAAAAGAGAGAGATCTTTGTTCCTGAACCTTTCAGTCTCTTTCCACAGAGGGGACACATGTTGATGTAGAAGAGACATGAAGAAGAGGGGACACATGTTGATGTAGAAGAGACATGGAGAAGAGGGGACACATGTTGATGTAGAAGAGACAGGAATAAGAGGGGACACATGTTGATGTAGAAGAGACATGAAGAAGAGGGGACACATGTTGATGTAGAAGAGACATGAAGAAGAGGGGACACATGTTGATGTAGAAGAGACAAGAAGAAGAGGGGACACATGTTGATGTAGAAGAGACATGAAGAAGAGGGGACACGTGTTGATGTAGAAGAGACATGAAGAAGAGGGGACACATGTTGATGTAGAAGAGACATGAAGAAGAGGTTAGAAGAGACATGAGACGAGGGGACAACGTGTTGATGTAGAAGAGACATGAAGAAGAGGGGACACGTGTTGATGTAGAAGAGACATGAAGAAGAGGGGACACATGTTGATGTAGAAGAGACATGAAGAAGAGGGGACACGTGTTGATGTAGAAGAGACATGAAGAAGAGGGGACACGTGTTGATGTAGAAGAGACATGAAGAAGAGGGGAAACATGTTGATGTAGAGGAGACATGAAGAAGAGGGGACACGTGTTGATGTAGAAGAGACATGAAGAAGAGGGGACACGTGTTGATGTGGAAGAGACATGAAGAAGAGGGGACACGTGTTGATGTAGAAGAGACATGAAGAAGAGGGGACACAGTGTTGATTGTAGAAGAGACATGAAGAAGAGGGGACACATGTTGATGTAGAAGAGACATGAAGAAGAGGGGACACATGTTGATGTAGAAGAGACATGAAGAAGAGGGGACACGTGTTGATGTAGAAGAGACATGAAGAAGAGGGGACACGTGTTGATGTGGAAGAGGAGACATGAAGAAGAGGGGACACGTGTTGATGTAGAGGAGACATGAAGAAGAGGGGACACGTGTTGATGTAGGAAGAGACATGAAGAAGAGGGGACACGTGTTTGATGTGGAAGAGACATGAAGAAGAGGGGACACGTGTTGATGTAGGGGACACATGGAAGAAGAGGGGACACGTGTTGATGTAGAAGAGACATGAAGAAGGAAGAGGGGACACGTGTTGATGTGGAAGAGACATGAAGAAGAGGGGACCGTGTTGATGTAGAAGAGACATGAAGAAGAGGGGACACATGTTGATGTAGAAGAGACATGAAGAAGAGGGGACACATGTTGATGTAGAAGAGACATGAGAAGAGGGGACACATGTTGATGTAGAGGACATGAAGAAGAGGGGACACATGTTGATGTAGAAGAGACATGAAGAAGAGGGGACACATGTTGATGTAGAAGAGACATGAAGAAGAGGGGACACATGTTGATGTAGAAGAGACATGAAGAAGAGGGGACACATGTTGATGTAGAAGAGACATGAAGAAGAGGGGACACATGTTGATGTAGAAGAGACATGAAGAAGAGGGGACACATGTTGATGTAGAAGAGACATGAAAAGAGGGGACACATGTTGATGTAGAAGAGACATGAAGAAGAGGGGACACATGTTGATGTAGAAGAGACATGAAGAAGAGGGGACACATGTTGATGTAGAAGAGACATGAAGAAGAGGGGACACATGTTGATGTAGAAGAGACATGAAGAAGAGGGGACACATGTTGATGTAGAAGAGACATGAAGAAGAGGGGACACATGTTGATGTAGAAGAGACATGAAGAAGAGGGGACACATGTTGATGTAGAAGAGACATGAAGAAGAGGGGACACATGTTGATGTAGAAGAGACATGAAGAAGAGGGGACACGTGTTGATGTAGAAGAGACATGAAGAAGAGGGGACACATGTTGATGTAGAAGAGACATGAAGAAGAGGGGACACATGTTGATGTAGAAGAGACATGAAGAAGAGGGACACATGTTGATGTAGAAGAGACATGAAGAAGAGGGGACACATGTTGATGAAAGAGACATGAAGAAGAGGGGACACATGTTGATGTAGAAGAGACATGAAGAAGAGGGGACACATGTTGATGAAGAGAGACATGAAGAAGAGGGGACACATGTTGATGTAGAAGAGACATGAAGAAGGGGGACACATGTTGATGGTAGAGGAGACATGAAGAAGAGGGGACACGTGTTGATGTAAGAAGAGACATGAAGAAGAGGGGACACGTGTTGATGTAGAAGAGACATGAAGAAGAGGGGACACGTGTTTGATGTAGAAGAGACATGAAGAAGAGGGGACACATGTTGATGTAGAAGAGACATGAAGAAGAGGGGACACATGTTGATGTAGAAGAGACATGAAGAAAGGGGACACATGTTGATGTAGAAGAGACATGAAGAAGAGGGGACACATGTTGATGTAGAAGAGACTGAAGAAGAGGGGACACATGTTGATGTAGAAGAGACATGAAGAAGAGGGGACACGTGTTGATGTAGAAGAGACCTGAAGAAGAGGGGACACGTGTTGATGTAGAAGAGACATGAGAAGAGGGGACACATTTAGATGAGGAAGAGACATGAGAGAGAGGGTAAAACATGTTGATGTAGAAGAGACATGAAGAAGAGGGGACACATGTTGATGTAGAAGAGACATGAAGAAGATGGGACACATGTTGATGTAGAAGAGACATGAAGAAGAGGGGACACATGTTGATGTAGAAGAGACATGAAGAGAGGGGACCATGTTGATGTAGAAGAGACATGAAGAAGAGGGGACACATGTTGATGTAGAAGAGACATGAAGAAGAGGGGACACATGTTGATGTAGAAGAGACATGAAGAAGAGGGGACACATGTTGATGTAGAAGAGACATGAAGAAGAGGGGACACATGTTGATGTAGAAGAGACATGAAGAAGAGGGGACACATGTTGATGTAGAAGAGACTGAAGAAGAGGGGACACATGTTGATGTAGAAGAGACATTAAAGAGGGGACACATGTTGATGTAGAAGAGACATGAAGAAGAGGGGACACATGTTGATGTAGAAGAGACATGAAGAAGAGGGGACACATGTTGATGTAGAAGAGACATGAAGAAGAGGGGACACATGGTGATGTAGAAGAGACATGAGAAGAGGGGACACATGTTGATGTAGAAGAGACATGAAGAAGAGGGGACACATGTTGATGTAAGAAGACATGAAGAAGAGGGGACACATGTTGATGAGAAGAGACATGAAGAAGAGGGGACACATGTTGATGTAGAAGAGACATGAAGAAGAGGGGACACATGTTGATGTAGAAGAGACATGAAGAAGAGGGGACACATGTTGATGTAGAAGAGACATGAAGAAGAGGGGACACATGTTGATGTAGAAGAGACATGAAGAAGAGGGGACACATGTTGATGTAGAAGAGACATGAAGAAGAGGGGACACATGTTGATGTAGAAGAGACATGAAGAAGAGGGGACACATGTTGATGTAGAAGAGACATGAAGAAGAGGGGACACATGTTGATGTAGAAGAGACATGAAGAAGAGGGGACACATGTTGATGTAGAAGAGACATGAGAAGAGGGGCACATGTTGATGTAGAAGAGACATGA